TATATATTAATAATATCTTAGTTATTTAATATATTTATACAACTATAACTGTTTTGTTATAATAGGCTTTTCTCGAATATTATAGAATAATAAATACTCGAGATGTTAATATTCATTAATCCTTTAGTTATATAAATATCAAAGAAAACGAATAAACTAATTGATTAACGGATCTCAATATCAAAGTAAATAAATATTAAAAAATAACTATATTTATCTCACAATTATTTATCTTGGATTAATAATATATTTCCTAAAACGAAATATAACTTATAACTGATAATATATTATTAAGAATTCTTTATTAATAATATATTTGAAATGAGAATTGAATTACTTTATTAACGAGTTCTTTAAGTTTATACTCTCAAAAGAAATATTTTATTAATTTTTAATAATGTATATTGGTTGTAGTAACTTCTCTTCTTACTATTACTATTTCTAATATAATAATATTGAATTTTATTGTATATACAATTATAATAAAATATTGGATTATATATTCTTCTATAATTATTTGATCTAAAGATTCAGAAAATAGTTTAATAATACCCTTTTCCTACTAATCAATAAGTAATAAGGAATTGATTATATTAAAAGACTATTCGGAAAGCTGAAAGATTTTATAGATATCACGGGGCTGGTACGGGTACTTGGTAAGATGTATGATATTCGACAAGGAGAGAAGGAGGCGCGCGGAGCGACGCCAACTATATGGTGGATTGATGCCTAAGGCATCCATCCGAGCTAGCTAGGAACGGGTAGTGAACCCGTGACAATAGATTTTTTCAAACAATTCAAATATTTCGAATATTCTAATCAAACTGAATAAAAATATTATAATCTATTTTTATATATTTGTATATATTTATCTCTATTTATATCTATCTATATCAATTTATATATATCTACTTTTATCTAACGTGGTTTATCAGTGCGTCGCGCATATCAGTGCCTCGCGCAGTTCTTCACTATTTTGCAACTCTTCAATTCAACACGCGTTTAATCAACAATCAATAATGAATAATACTTCAAAAGAAGCTCGGATTATCTTAGCTATTGAAGCTATTAATAAATAAATAAAAATGAGTCGCCAAAGTACTGCTAAACTCTACAATATCCCTGAAATAACATTTTGGAATCGAATGAACAGTTTAACTCTGTTACAGGAATGTCGATTATTAATTCAAAAATTAACTAAATTAGAAGAAGAAGTGATTCTTCAATATATCCTCGATATAGATATACAAGGATTTGTCTCTCGATTGAGTAATATAGAAAATATAGCAAATGATATTCTCAATACTCGTGAAGCACATCACATTGGAAAGTTTTAAGTATATCAATTTGTATAATACTAACTAGAATTAAAGATATGTTTTAATCGTATTTATGATTTCCAAAGAGCTTTTTGCAAAGATCCAAAGCTTATTGAAGGGTGGTTTCGATTAATATCGAATATATAGGCGAAATATAATATTCTCGATTGCAATTTCTACAATTTCAACGAAACAGGCTTTATGATAGGTATTATATATCCTGAAATAATTGTAACTAATATTAAATGACATAACAGAAACAAAGCAATATAATTAGGTAATCAAGAATAGGCTATAGCGATTATATATATCAATGATATAGAAGAAAGCATTCCTCTATTTTTAGTAATTAAGGACAAAAATCATTTCTTGAATTAGTATACTGAGAGTAATCTTCTACTTGATTGGGTGATTAAAATCACTAATAATGGATAAACAAATAATGAGATAGGTTTAGAATGGATTAAACATTTCGATAAATATACTATTGTTCGAAAACAAGGTGGTTATCGAATACTAGTATTAGACGGATACGAAAGCTACGAATCGATTGTATTTCAAGAATATTATAAAGAACACAATATTATAACGTTTTTTATTACCTTCTTATTCTTTGTATATTATTTAATCACTCGATGTCGGATGTTTTAGTATTTTAAAACGAATATATGGTCAACAAATTGAGGGATATATTAAGGCTTATATCAATTATATTATTAAGGTCGAATTCCTTATAGCCTTCAAAGTAGTATACCTACAATTAATAACTATTCAAAATAGATTATCTGGATTCCGTGGAGCTAGATTAATACTCTTTGATTCTTAAGCTATTATTTCTAAACTAGATATCAAATTATAAATACCTATATTTATCAGATTCTCCTTTATAGAGTTCGATCCGTAGGTTTCTCAAATACCTTATAACTTGAACAATACTCTTTTGTAATCAACCTTAGTTAAAAATCGAATTATATAACATCAAAGAAGCTCTCCTATACCTATATTTGAAACAATTACAACTTTAGCTAAGGGTACAGAGATATTAGCTTATAAAATAATACTTATGAGTACTGAGATTCGTATTCTTCGAAAGGCAAATGAGGTATTGAGTAAATGTTATAGAATTAAAAAAAGTCGAATTCGTCAAGAAGGAATATTTAGTATATAAGATGAATATGATATTATATTACAAACCAATATAGATAATCAGATTC